TCAAAGTATGTGAAATTACCACTCATAAGAAAGATGACATTTTATTTTCAAATCAGGCAAGAAAGTCACTGCAGTCCTAACAAACACTACTCCTTTCCTATATTTACGTAACAGTCTCACAAAACTTCGCATACTTATAATGCAGGTTTTATAATATCAAATCAATAGGTAAATTTTGTAACGCCTGTCATGTTAAGATGATTGCTTGCCTGATTTTCAAAAAAAATTTATGTTTTTCTGTTTTTAGTTACAGCTTTATTAAGAAAAAAGATAAGGCAAATGCCAGGTAATACACCATTGTGTTCACTGTGAGAACAGCACTCTAACAATCAATAAAGAAGACAGATTGTTTTAGAATTGATAAAATAACAGAGCTGGGAAAATGCAACTTGTCTGAAACTAAAGGAAAAATAATCAAAATGTAGAAAATAATCCATTAAGTCACTTTAATATTGAAGTAAAAAATGATAAAATTACAAATTCTCATTTATCTTTTAATAATCTATGTAAATCCATAAGATCCAGAGAAGATGGAAAGAAAACAGCTTGAGTGATTTCAGTTTCATTTTTGCTGACTTTGCTATTAAAAAGGGAAATATCTTTGTAAGATCACAAATATTCGCAATTGCAATTTGGTATTTTGTGTTATTGAATGGTGAGAAGAAAATACGTAATTCATGCGATAAGTTACTAATACTGCAATAGTTATTTGGTATAGTATAAGCACATTATACTAATAAATTTTATGACATAAAATAACATACTACAAATGACCCCAAATTTGCACAAAACCAATATTTTTCTGTTACAATAGTTATTCCAATTATAGCACAACCAAAGGACTTTTATTTTATTCTAAAAATATGAACCTTATCAAAAAAGAAAATCTTTCAAGCAAAAAAGCATTAACCACATGCTTACATAACTTCAGCACCACAGTCAGTCTCAAAACAAAACTGAAATCATGCTTGCCAACCTACATAATTTAGTAATTCAGTTAGGACATAAATCTAATGTTTTCCAAATATTTAAAATAAACAGATCAGCAAAGACCAATTATGTCATAAATCTATAAAATTCTTTAGAATTTATGTGAGGAAACATCATCTTTGATCCTTAGAATAAACCCTATATGTAAAAAGACTTCATTTTAGAAATCCCAAAATGGGCACAAACATGACTGGAGGCTGACTATAATGCTCCCCGCAGACTCACACACTTTGCTGACGAGGTTGGCTCAGGACATCTACTTAGGAAGTATTCAGTCATGAAATCTCTTTCAATGAGGTTCACAGATATATCCTGAATACAATGTATTATGATTTATGAAAAATTATATATTGTAAATTCAATGAAACTCTATTCTGTGCAAAGATTAAGACTTTCGCTAGATCCATCCTAGCTTACTTGACCATCCAAAAACTTTAAAGGGGAAAACGGTCAGTAACTTACTATTAAGATATTTTGCTAGACAAATATATTTTTTAAAGATCAACAAAAATGGAAAAGTATTTGATTCTCATTTTTCGTGAAATAACTCCTATTACAATAAATATTTCTATACTACATTAGATATTAAACCTGAAAGACACTTAACATACAGTTAATGAGATCCTGTCTTTCATAAAATAAGAACTAGCTACCATTATACAGAATTTTTTATAAAGCAAGCACTGAAAAGCATTTATATGTAAATGTATGTGTATGTGTATACAAACCCTCTCTGAATACGACTGGTAAATTTTTTAACATTAAAATATCAAAATAAAGGGTAAAGGGCATTTTTTAATTAAGAAGACAAAAATTATCTCCTGTATTTAATGATTTCTGTTCATTATCAGACAACCTAGATTTAGCTCTGTTAACCAGTCATTTTTAAACAGTATACTAAGGCTCTAAATACAATAAACAAGTCATAAATTAGATAACGGCATACCAGAAAAGAACACAAATTAAATAATACGTACTGGAAATTATGCTGTTAAATTTTTTAGAGATCAGCAATCACTAAATCACCCAAATTATCAAATAATTGAAACACTGTAAGTTATTATATACCCTATTAATAACAAGAAACATCAGTTTAACATTGTGGCAATATATTTTTTCACTTCAGCTTTTTAAATAATTTCTTGCTTGTGTGTTCACCACATTTTAAATAATCTATAATAATAATTCCAGACATACTCAGGTGGAAAACATACATAATGGTCTCAATTTCTAGTTCTAAGACACATCACTATCAAACCTCATTAGGTATTAAGTGGAACAAGTACAATGCTAAATGTTAACTTCTTCTTAAAATTATGTTTGCATTGCAGAGTTTTCAGAAAACACATATAAAGTCAATGTGTAAGTTCTCCAACAAATGTACATATTTGTTAAAGTCATACATCCAAAACCTTGATCAATACTTTAAAGATTCTGATATTCTAATATAAAGAACTCCTTTAATGAAAACACTAATTTTTCTACAAATTAATAGTCTAGTAAAGAAAATATTATCAGGATTATGATATAAATATGAATTTATACCAAAGATTAATCACCTTAGGTACATTAAGAAACCATTTCCAAACATCTCAACATGTCAAATTCATGAAAAAATTAAAATATATCAACCCACTTATATTAAAATTATCCTGATATGATTAAATATCTATTCCAAGACTTAAGTAGAATTTCAGTCACCAAATTAAGCAGTATAATTTAGGTTATGTGCACCTTACTAATCTAGTGATTTGAGTGCAAAAGCATTTCAAATTATATATTCTGTTTACGAATCTGCAAATAATCATAAAATTGTCTTAGTGGGATCCTATTTAGAAACACTAAAGCCTTAATAGATCATTAGGTAAAGATAAACTCATACTTGATTTTGGTCCAAAACTACTTTTATGAAATATTTCACAAAATATTTCCATGCCTATATGTGATAGCTGTAAAGACTGTAAACGATTTTCTTCCTAACAAATGAACATTAGGCTTCCTAACATATAGGCAGAGAAAAATACTACATGCATAGAACAAAAATGTACTATATTCTTAATAATTATCAACTAATTTTTTAAATTATAACTAATGAACTATACCAACATATAATATTCAACAACAGAACAATAACGTACCCACAGTAATTTAATACCTTACACACAAAGTTTTAGCCTTGCTACACCTTTATTGAAGCAGTCAGTAAGATATATGGATAGTAGCCATAAAGTATATATCTTCTATTATATACCTTACATGATGCTATGATTAATATATTTGTAATTATTTATACTTTTATATAAATTTCAAAAATCTAATACTGTTAAAAACATGCATACAAGAAAAGTTTCTCAAAAACCAACATATATAAAAACCTGGAAATTTTGAGGCAAGAAGTAAAAACCAGTTTTAGGGATTAACAGCATTAATATGTTTTACTATTTGTACATAATTTTCCCTCTCCAAAACTATGTTTAATTAAGCTTTACTGACATACTATGAAATCATAACCAGGAAAGAGAAGTAGCCTAACTTACAGGCTTGAGAGACTTAAAATTTTAGTAACAGAAAAGCTCACAAGACAAAACTACAATGAGATGCTCTCAAATAGTGAAATGCTTAACATGCCTATCTATGGCAATCAAACCAAATAAATGGCGATCATGAAATCAACTGCCCAACCTCCATAATAGTTATGAATATGATAACTGCGGCTAGTATTTTAAAGGCCTTTTTAACTTTACAGTTTTAAAAATCACAGTGGATGCAGAAGATTTTCTTTAAAAAAATGTTACAATACAACCCAAAATCAGGACGAAACCCAATCATGACTGCTGAAACTGACTTCACTTATCTGAAACATTCTGCTTTGTCTATACCCCAGAAAGACACAAGGTGGGGACACAGCACTGCCTTCCAATAGTTTTACTCTACATACAGACAACAAAAGAGTTATTTTAAATCAGCCATTATATTTAAAATTATCTTTTATATAATAATTTTAAAATTACATAATCAATGTAGTTCTTGAAGCTGACCAACCTAAACTACAAAATGGGCCAAATTAGGCATAGGAAAAAAATCAAATCATTTCCAGTAAGACACATTTTAAAACAATATTAATCAGAACTTTCTTTGAAGATTTTGAATATGAAAATTGTCAGTGTGACATTAAAACTAGAGTTAAACAAGAATTAAGGGTTTTATTTTGTGGTTAGGACAAGCAGCTGCCATTAGGGGGAGATTATGACTAATGAATTCCAGCTATGCCCTGCAATGCAAAATATATTAACAAATGAAACAATTTGAATTACTTAATACAATTCAACAGATATCATAAGACATTCGAAATAATGTGAAGATTGTAATGTTTTCCTACTAGAGCTAAATATTTCTTAAATAATTAAAAACATTTTTAAATAAAACTAATTTTGAAAATAATTACATATAACCCTAAGTATAATATATATTAAATAGGCAAAAATCTATAATATAAAAGTAATCATTAGAGAAAGTTATTTCTAGGCAAAACAGTACCATTTGAAATTTTTAGTAACTTCTACTTTTTAAATATAATAGTTTATTTTATATATATAACTCCTACTAATATTACCATAAAAGCTAGGCGAATTCCTCTAGGCTAGACACCATCAGAATGTTAACAGCAGTATTTTTTTCTCAAATACAGTATGTGCATTTGAAATGTGCGCACTGAAAAATAAGTTTATCAAACATGAGTTCAAATTGTTTTCAAAGGCCCAAAAGTGATTTACTGCTCGCAAATACTATATATATATATATCACAAAAAAAACCCAATCTTGTTATTTCTTTTTTAAAAAAACCTATTTTCTTACATCAAAAGGCATTTTCGAAGACAATAATAAAATGCCTGTTTAGAACACACAGAACTGCAAACTTAACTCTCCTAACTACTTTGCATTATTTCATCACATTTAAATTCTCCATGTTTTCCTTTTTCTTTCACCTTTGGCTTTGTTCCTTTTCTTACCTTTTCTTTTACGCCCTTCTTTGTTTTTGTCTTTTCATATTTCATTCTTTCTTTAAGCCAGCAGCACATGGAACCAAGGTGGCCTATGTCTCCAGGTCTGATATCACTACAAAAAGTAAATTCTTACTATTTTTAAGGGGAGAAAAACAAGCCAGTTATCATCTGGAAAAGGATGAGGGGATTTTAACCCACCAGACAAGCCTGTCCAATAAAACTCAGACTCGAATCAAGTGATTATAACTTCTCAGGCACACACATAGAGCTCTTGGAGAGCATCCAAATTTGGGGAAGGGGGGGGGTCTCTTCTCTCCTGTCTAGAAAAGAAAACTTAAAAAAAAAAAAAGGAGGGCTATAATAATTCAATTTCACAAATCCACTGAACATGGAAACGTTTAAATAAATTCTTTATAAGCCAGGACTTAAAATGTTTTAATAATTTGTAATTTTATTTAAAGCTTTACAACTGAGGGAAGCCTAAACTGTTTTATACTTCCCACAATGCTTGTTCCAACTAACAAGGAGTATTAACTACTAAATATGTAATTACTAGGCTAATCAAAAATGAAAATGCTAATTTTTATAACCCCAAAACAAGGTTTAAAAGCCTTTATAGCTTGATTTTGTTATATTATCATATTTTAATAGGTTCTCTTCCAACAGCTTTCTTTATAAACCAAATTAGCTTGTAACAGTTTACTGGTAATGACACTTTTAATCTCAAAAAAATCATATACATTTATTGAAAGAAAAGCATACTTAATACTTATCTGCAAACAAGTTGTATGCCAAATGTCTAAAGCTAAATAAATGTTCACCAACTGGTACACCTAATGAAGGATGTCCAAAAGTATTTACTTAGCAATATACCTTAATAAAAGTACTCTTTGTGTTACCTGAAAATTGATGTTTAAAAAATTATTACTACCACTACTTATCTGTTACTTGGCATGCAAGCCAACTTGTCATATGCTCTAATCTACGACAACATTCACATTTAAAGCCTTTAATTGCTGAATAGACAGTAATATTAAAGCACTGAATCAGAAGAATATGAATATCAAAGTTTCTATGGCTCAAAATATATCCACAACCTTAAAATATTCATTTTGCTGCTTCTTTGAGGAGACAGCAGTAAAGAAAGTGAATCAAATTCATTTCTTTTACTGGTGCAGATTCAAAATATGGCCAGCTCTTTCCACACTCTGTCAACGTTAGAAATGACCACTGATTTACAGAAAGGAAGAAATAACGCTGAATGCTATTCTAGAAAAGCACATCTGCATACATTTGCCTGGAACATGCTCCAGTGTTCATGTTGTGCACCCCTCCTACCAGACAATATTCCACTCCATTAAGAAATGCTGCTTCTGCCTTTGCAATTATAACTCAAAATTAAGAAGCAAAAAGAAAAGTAATAAATGTAGGTAGATTTTTTTTTTAAAGCAAAACAAACTAAATTGGAAAAGTACCTTAGGCAAAGCCAGAAGAGAAACTGGGAAAAAAAATGCATAACTGCTACCACATATAAGGAACTAATATCTGTAACATATAAAAAGTACCAAGGAACACAGAAGAAAAGAATTAGTAACTCAGGAGAAAAATTAGCAAAGGATAAATAATCACAAAAAAGAAATCCAAATAGCTTTTAAACACTTGATGCCCAATAAGACTCATATTGACAAAAACAAATTACTCAGATACCATTTGTTGTCCATCAAAATAGCAAAAAACTGAATAGTTTAACAACACAGTATTAGAAAAGCTGTGGGAACCAAGCACGTTGACCAATAGCTTACAGGAATGTAAAAAATATATTAAGTCCTGAAAATGATATCTGGCAACATCTACCAAAATCATAGGTGCCTCTTCCATTTAGCCTAACAATCATTCTGGAAAGCTCTCCCACAAAGACACTTAAATTTGTTCAAATGTATATATTTGATGACATGACAATTCACATAACAGTGAAATAATGGTGTACTCTATGTGCCAAGCAATCAACTGGGGATTGATTAAAAGAGTTATGTTACTTCCAAATACTAGAATATTATGTCAAAGAGAAGAAAAAAAAAGTACTTTTATGAATATTTTATGAGATCTGTTAAGTGGAAAAGTACAGTATACATATTAATTGAACTTTTGTATAAATTACAGACTATCCTTTGTGCAAATCAATCTACTTTTTGTATCAGAGAGGAAGTATATATGATTCTATTTTTCCACATTTTCATTTTCATTAAAACACACTGATTATAAATGAGAGCAATGGATAACATGAAAAGAGGTAAGAACAAGTTTTTGGTTTTAATTTTTTTAAAGACTTATTTACTAACTTGAAAGTCAGGGTTACAGAGAGAGAGAGAGAGAAAGGGAGAGAGAGAGAGAGAATCTTCCATCCACTGGCTCACTCCCCAATTGGCAGCAAGGGCCAAAGCTGTGCCGATCCGAAGCCAGAAGCTTCTACCGGCCACGTGGTTACAGGGGCCCAAGGACTTGGGCCATCTTCTGCTTTCCCAGGCAATAGCAGAGAGCTGGATCAGAAGTGGAGCAGCCGGGACCTGAACCAGCACCTATATGGGATGCTAGCACTGCAGGCGGTAGCTTTACTCGCTATGCCACAGCGCCGGCCCCCGTTTTAATTTTTTTAAAACAATCTTATTTTTGAATCATAATCCTTTCAAAAAATAAAATATGCTGATTTTCCAGAAATTGTGGGAAACTAATACTTTAGTTCTCCCAAATAATTTGCTATACTGTCAACAATTATTTAACAGATGTTCTCAAACAGAGTTGATGAGGTAGCAATTATCATACTGAAAATATTGAGACCTTTCTGTATGCAAGAATCCTGGAGAAAAAAGCCCAAGCTCCACAACTTTACATATGCTAATATAGCATCATCAGTTTATAGCTAGAAAAATTATACTGCGTATATCTGACATAACCAATAGTGCTCAAAACTGAAAGCCCACTTAAGGTGTCACCTAGAACGCCCCCAACCGTCTGATCAAGTGCCTGGGTACGGGTCCTGGCTCCACTTCTTATTCCAGCTTCCTGTTAATGCATACCCTAGGAAGTAGCAGGTGATGACTCAAGGACTTGGATCCCTTACACTCATGTACAGACCCAGACTGAGGTCCCAGATCCAGACTTCAGCCACCCCCAACTACTGCGGACACTGTGGACATTTGAGGAATGAACTTGTCTCTGTTTCTTTCAAATTAAAAACGAAAATAAATTTAAAAAAATTTTAAAAACTGATAGGAAGGCCCATACTTGATAGCATGTCCAATATGAAAAACCTAAAAGCCCTTCCTCCAAAATCAGGAAAAGAACAGAGTGCTTCTTTATGTCACTTCTAGTGAATATGACACTAAAAGTGCTGACCAGAGCAATCACGCAAGAAAAAGTGATTCACATGGAAAGAAATATTATCTCTGTTCACAGATCATGTTACCTTAAAAACTAAAAGTTATTTTTTAAAAATAGAAAACCCTAAAGGTGTTAGAAACACACACACACACACACAAAGTAAACTTATTAGAATTAACAAATGATTTCAGCAAAGTTGCAAACTATAAAATCACTATTTTATTATTTATTTTCTGTTTGTACCTTTTTTCTCTTTAAATATTCATAGCTTCTGTGGATTACTTAAATGACTTTTATGCCACTTAAATGTATCTATTAGCTTTTTGTCTACATATTTTGTAGTATGACTTTGGTAACTGTTGAGGGGGAGTGCTATATATCGTCCTTTCACAGCCTTCTTACTTTTTCAAATTAAAATAAAATACAGAATCATCATAATAAAAACCAACACACAAAATTCTAAACACTAACAACAATAAAAATGAGCAATTAAGAGAATAATTCTATTTGCAATACCATAAAAAGTAGTAAAATACTCAGCAATAAACTGAACCAATTAGGTGAAATGCTTGCATGTTAAAACAACAAAATACTGCTGAAAGATATTATAGAATACAAAAATATATGGAAAGAAATCCCCATGTTCATGGATTGGAAGACTAATATTACTAAAATGGTAATATAACTAAAATTAATAAACAGATTTAATGCAATGCCTTTTACAATGTCAAAGAGATATTGGGCATAAAAAGAAAATTCCATCCTAAAATTAACAAAGACTCAAGAAACTCCAAATAGAACAATCTTGAAATAGAACAATGTTGGAGGTCTCACAATTCTTGATTTCAAAATGTATTACATGGCCAGCACCGCGGCTCACTAGGCTAATCCTCTGTCTGCGGCCCTGGCACCCCGGGTTCTAGTTCCGGCTGGGGAGTTGGATTCTGTCCCGGTTGCTCCTCTTCCAGTTCAGCTCTCTGCTGTGGCCCGGGAAGGCAGTGGAGGATGGCCCAGGTCCTTGGGCCCTGCACCCACATGGGAGACCAGGGGGAGGCGCTTGGCTCCTGGTTTCAGATCAGTGCAGGGCGCAGGCTGGGGCTGCCACTCAGGGGATGAACCAAAGGAAAAAGAAAGACCTTTCTCTCTGCCTCTCTCTGTCTCTGTATCTCTCTCTCTCACTGTCTAACTCTGCCTGTCAAAAAAAAAAAAAGTATAACAAAGCTAAAGTAATAGAAAGCCTGGTCCTATTAAATGAAAAACAGACATATCATAGATCAGTGAAATAGAGTACAGAAACAAACCTTGAATGTATGCTTTCTCAAATGATTTTTGACAGGGTTGCAAAGACTATTCAGTGTGGAAAATATTGTCTTTTCAATACAGAGTGATGTGAAAACTGGATAACCACATGTAAAAGAATGAAATTGGGGCCAGCGCTGCGGCTCACTTGGCTAATCCTCCACCTGTGACGCCGGCACCCCGGGTTCTAGTCCCGGTTGGAGTGCTGGATTCTGTCCCGGTTGCTCCTCTTCCAGTCCAGCTCTCTGCTGTGGCCCAGGAAGGCAGTGGAGGATGGCCCAAGTGCTCGAGCCCTGCACCCGCATGGGAGACCAGGAGGAAGCATCTGGCTCCTGGCTTCGGATCAGCGCAGCGCCGGCCATAGTAGCCATTAAAGGAGTGAACCAATGGAAGAAAGACCTTTCTCTCTGTCTCTCTCTCACTGTCTAACTCTGCCTGTCCAAAAAAAAAAAAACAAAAAAAAACAGAAGTTCCCCCAAAAAATTAAAATTAGAATTATCAGCTATCAGCTGATTCAACAATTTCAATGAAAGGTGGTTTTTAAAAGCAGCATGATTCACAACAGCCATAAAGTGGAAGCAACCCAAGTGTCCACTGATTGATTGATGATAGATAGATAGATAGACAGACAGATAGAGGATATTATTTCCTTCCTTAAAAAGGAAGAAAAATTTTACATATGCTACACATGAATGAACCTTTAGGACACTATGCTAAGTATACCAGCCACTAAAAGACAAATACTATAGGATTCTCTTATATGAGGTACTTAGTGGAATCAAATTCATAAAGACAGAAAGTAGACTGGTTGTTGGAAGAGCCTTGGGGAATGAGACAGTGCCCTGTCATTTGATGGATGTAAATTTTTCAGTTTCATAAGACGAAGGGTTTGGGAGATCGGTTATAGAACAATGTGACTGTATTTACCACTATAGAATGGTATACTCAAAACTAGTTAACAGAGTAAATTTTATGTTATATACATTTTTACACAATTAAAATATATTTATTAAGAACTAAAAATTGACAGGAAGCCATAACCAAGTTCAGTCATGGAAAAAAGGAGTGGTCAACTAAGAAGCATTGCTTCTATATAAAAACTACCAAAGAAGTCAAGCAGCCAACAACATAATACCTGTGAAATTCCCTGTAAGATGAGTTAAACAAAAATCTAATTTTAAATTAGTGGAAATCCTGAAAAGTAAGTAGGATTTATTTCAGCAGGAAGAAAAGGTATAGTACTCTACAAACGAGAAAAGTAAATGAAGGTGGAAACCATGAGAAGAACAAAAGGAAAGCAAAATATTAACATAGCAAGTCCCCCACCTTAACATATATAACAGAACTTTCCTTCTTCAGTAGGAAAATAATTTTCTTGAAAAATAAACTGACTTGTCTGGAAGTAGTGGCATCTGACCAAAGAATAAGGAGATAATGCAATGCAGATATAAAGGGGTAATAAAATAAAACAATCAGTGTTATTACAGTAGGAACTTCATGGTATCAACTAGAGGAAACAAGAAAGTGTAATGATGACTGAAATAGAGGATGGATGTGAGCAAGACATAAACAGTGGCCATAATTTTCTATTCTATGAAACCAAAAAAATCTTTTATAGTCTGCTAAAAAAATCCACTCTTCCAAAAATCATTTTTGAGCAACTACCAAGTACCCAACACTCTTGCAGGTGGGAAGACACAGCAGTACACAAAGCAGACAACCTTCCTACTTCCACTGAGTTTTCAAGTGGAGGAACACGATAAACCAACAATTATAAAGAAAAACAACTAACTCTGTCAAAAGATTTTAGACAAAATGTAAAAGCATCTACCATGGATAAAACATACCCCATCAAAATTCAAACCTTCTGTTCTTCAAAAACCTCATAAAAACAAAAGGGAAAGCTATGCATGAAAAAAGCAATTACAATGCATATATAACAAAAGAAATTACAACACAAACATATAAAGAACTTGATGAGAAGGCAATAAATTCTAAAAAAAAAAAAAAAAAAACAAGTTGTGTAGACACATCTTAAAAGAAGAGAGTAATACCTAACACTCACATTAAAATGTGGTCAACATCATTTAGACAGTAGGGATAACCAGTATAACCACTGAGAATCAAAACCAAATTTAATATAAAAACATATCCACTTAGAATGGCTAAATTAAAAAGTTACCACTACCTGTTGCTATGTATGAAGTACAAACAGAGCTCTCAAACACTGCTCATGGGAGGATAATTGGCACAATCACTTTGTAAAACTCTGACAGTTTCTCACAAAGTTGAAGTTGAACATACAATTATCCTAAGACCCAGCCACCCCACTCATCTGTATTTACTCAAGAGAAATGAGCTTTTGTCCATTCAAACACTTGTTCGAAAATGTTCATAGCATCTTTATATGTACTATTTGAAAACTGGAAACAACCCAAATGTCTTTTAACAGGTAAATAAATGTTTTATGTCCTTATAATGGAATACTACTCTACAATAAAAAGGAATAAACTATGAGACAAAATCACACACAAAATGCACCTAGCTACTGTCAATAACTTATGAACCGGGCCGGCGCCGTGGCTCACTAGGCTAATCCTCCGCCTTGCGGCACCGGCACACCGGGTTCTAGTCCAGGTCGGGGCACCGGATTCTGTCCCGGTTGCCCCTCTTCCAGGCCAGCTCTCTGCTGTGGCCAGGGAGTGCAGTGGAGGATGGCCCAAGTCCTTGGGCCCTGCACCCCATGGGAGACCAGGAGAAGCACCTGGCTCCTGCCATCGGATCAGCGCGGTGTGCCAGCTGCGGCGGCCATTGGAGGGTGAACCAACGGCAAAAGGAAGACCTTTCTCTGTCTCTCTCTCTCACTGTCTAACTCTGCCTGTCAAAAAATATAAATAAATAACTTATGAACCACAAGTGAATTCAGGCTTAACTAAAGCTGACCTAACAGAAAATTAGCCAAGAGTCAAAAAGGATCACTTCCAAAGTGCACAGTGGAAATGAGACACTAAATTAACTGAACCTTAGAGCCTACACAGTCCAGTTATCGGTTCCAACAATAACCTTCTATTGTTAACCAACTGGGGTCAAGTTTTCTGTTAGTTGCTCTCCAATGAGTTATAAATGATATGATGCAGCTCATACATAATGAGCTCAGAAGTCTCCATTTAATAAGAGTTTCATTGCTATGTATGAGGATTCATGGCAAAGAAAATGATACCTACCCAATGGAAAAAGTAATAGACTGTAATAACCATTGTAAATAAGTTACAAGGAATAAAACATAAAAAGATGTTTACAAGTATAGACAATGTTTTGAAAGGGCAAGCAAACACTACTGGTTAAAAATAACTCCTAGAAATTCCCCACAAGATGAAAAGTTCACTACACTCTTTCAAACACATAAACCAACCATTAGATATTTCTACTTCTGCCAAGTTTTCAGTAAGCACAGCATTCGCTACCAGCAAAGCTCTGTCAATATTTCTAGGTTTCCTTTGGTCATGAAGAGACAGAAATGATAGTTTGGAAGTCAGCAAGACAGGTGGGAAGCTAGCATTTTGTGAACAACTGCTAGTTGCCAAGATGTCAAGAATTTACATATACTTCTGATGCCACTTAATATTTTCAACAACCAAAGTAGATATCCTCATCTACAAACATTACATAAGAAAATAAAACTCTGGGACTGGCGTTATGGTGTAACAGGTTAATCTGCCACCTGCAATGCTTGATTCCACATGGGCTCTGGTTCATGTCCCAACTACTGCACTTCTGATCCAGCTCCCTGCTAATGGCCTGGGAAAGGCAACAGAGAATGGCCCAAACATTTGAGTTCCTTGCCCCACCTATACCCTTGTAGGAGTCCGGGATGAAGCTCCTGGCTTCAGCATGGCCCAGCGTTGGCTGTTGCAGACATCTGGGGAGTGATCTGGAGAAGGAAGGATATCTCTCTCTCTCTGCCTCTCCTATGTAACTCTCTCAATTAAATAAACAAATGTTTAAAAACAAAAAGAAAAGCTCTAATACTTAACTCACTGCTTAAGAAGGAAATCACAACTTATAAAATAGTAACACAGGGGTCTGGCACTGTGGCTTAGCAGGTAAAACCGCTGCCTGCAATACCACCATCTTATATGGCCTCTGGTTCTAGTCCCAGCTGCTCCTCTTCCACTCCAGCTCTCTGCTATAGTCTGGGAAAGCAGAGGATGGCCCTTGTGGGAGACCCAGAAGAAGCTCCTGGCTTCGGATCAGCCCAGCTCCAGCCATGCAGCCATTTGGGTAATGAACCAGCAGATAGAAGACCTCTCTGTCTCTCCCTCTCTCTGTAACTCTACCTCTCAAGTAAATAAATAAATGAATCTTTTTAAAAAATTGTTAACACTGGAATTAGAATCTATACCTGTTACAAAAATTATCTTTCTACAACATCTTGATGAAAGTAACAAGACGTATCTATTATTATGGGTCTTTTTCTAGTCCACCCCAAAGAAAAATATCAATTACATCTCATTAGAAAAATATATTCTCTAAAGACATGAGTACAGAGATCAATTTTGTATAGAGGCTGTCTATGTTACATACATATGTATGAGTGTGTGTGTGTGTGTGTGTGTGTGTATCCATCCTATTTGAAAGGCAGAGGGACAGAGACAGAAATTGCTCCATTCTCGTGTCATGGTTCAGTTCCAAAACACCTGTAGCAGTCAAAGCTGGGACTGGAAAGTCAATTCCAAGTGTCCCATGGAGATGGCAGGGATCCAATATTATTTGAGTCATCACCTGCTGCCTCCCAGGGTCTGTATTAGCAGAAGTTGGAGCTGAGACTCAAACCCAGCCAGTGTGATATGGGAAGCAAGCACCCCAAGCATGATCTTTTTTTTTTTTTTTTCATTTATTTGAAGTCAGAAATACAGAGAGAGAAAGAAAATGAGAGGAAGAGATAATCCATCCACTGGTTCACTCCTCAAATGTATGGGGCTGGATCAGGTCAAAGCCAGATGCCAGGAACTTCTTCTAGGTCTTCCATATGCAGAGGCCCAAGGTCCTGTGCCATCTTCCACTGCCTTCCCAGGCACAATAGCAGGGAGACTGACCGGAAGCAGAGCAGTGCATTGTCACTGCACAGGGAGGCTTAACTTTCTATGTCACAGCACTACCCCCCACCCCCACCCCCAAGCATGGTCTTAACTGCTAGGCCAAATGCCCAACCCTAGTTTCTGTCATTTTTAAAGCATCTTAAATCTAACTAGTTATTCTTCTCTCTACCTCAAGGTGTTAAATTACTTAATGATCTCAAAAAAAAATCACAGCAACAGGAAGTCATTACTTAAAAGAAAGAAAATTAAGGATAGTATTAAAGCATCTTAAATCTAACTAGTTAACCTTCTCTCCACCTCATGGTGTTAAATTACTTAATGATCTCAAAAAAAATCTTGGAGCCTGTGCCATGGCTCATTTGGTTAACCCTCTGCCTGTGGCGCTGGCATCCCATATGGGCAGCAGGTTCTAGTTCTGGTTGCTCCTCTTCCAGTCCAGCTCTCTGCTGTGGCCCGGGTGGGCAGTGGAGGATGGCCCAAGTGCTTGGGGCCCCTGCACCCGCATGGAGACCAGGAAGAAGCACCTGGCTCCTGGATTCGGATTGGCGCAGCACCAACCATGGCGGCCATTTGGGGAGTGAGCCAACGGAAGGAAGACCTTTCTCTCTAGCTAGCTCTCCCTCTCTCTCTCTCTCACTCACTGTAATGCTACCTGTAAAATAAATAAAAATCTTTAAAAAAAAATCTCAGCAATAGAAATAGTCATTACTTAAAAGAATGAAAATTAAGGACACTATTAAAGCATCTTAAATCTAACTAGTTACCCTTCTCTCTACCTCAAGGGGTTAAATTACTTAATGTTCTCAAAAAAAATCACAGCAACAGAAATAGTCATTACTTAAAAGAATGAAAATTAAGGATAGTATGTAGAGAAGATATACTTTTCTGGTATTTTCAAAATAACAAGACAACATTAAAAGGGTACAAATGAACATGTGACAGAAATCCATTAAAATTTATGGCTATTATTGGAAAAGAAAAGAGCCAAAGTATGTGTGCATGTACATATATATATATGTACATATACATATATTTATATATCAATAATCAAGTGCTGTGGAAGAAATTATGTAGTATAATTTTTAAAAGAGTTACTGAGAGAAGCATGTTTATATTTTAAAACTTTTTTAAAAATAATCACCAGAGAGATTAGCAGAAGGCTTTCATTTTCATTTTTTACTTATCTGTTCTATTAAGGATTCTATTCTAGCCCTCACTGTTACAGACATTTAGGGAGTGAACCAGTGGATGGGTAAGCTCTGTGTGTTTCTGCATTTTACAAATAAATAAAAATCAATAAAGTTTTTAAAAAGAAGGCTTTTAAATTTAAATGTGTCTATGTAAATACTTGTATTTGTATTTAGGTATGTACTTAACGTAAGTATTTCCATTTGTATGTAGGTACATCTAGTCTCTTTCCAAAAAGGAAGCAGTTCCTTTTGAATATATACTCCATAGGAAAAAAATTAGTTGAAATAAATTTAAGGTAAAAGGAAAATTAGTTTTTAAAAACTGCTATCCTTTAACAAAAACGGGAATTCCTGAATTCTGCCCTAAATGGATTACTGTTTCTTATTTTCAAAAATGTCACAGAGGAAAAAGTACCTCTATATATCTTTTATAAAATGTACAGTATTAACATAATAAAGGGAAACAACTGATCAGAAGTCTAGCTTTTCCAATTAATGAGATGGGACAGAATATTTAAGTGAGGGTTCCCATAAGTGAAGACTCTGTAGGGTATACTGGACAATGTCCTTAACAATATTTTAATAACAAAACAACTCAAAGGAATAATCCCAAAACTCAATTCATAATGTTTAATTCTTCAAGTACTGCTACCAAAGCAAGACCCAAGTACTACTGCAGTTCAAACAGTCTTTAACAGCTGAGCATCTCTATCAAAAAAAATCGTAACAAGTCACTGTAAGTTTTATGTCACATTTTATACTATTAAGTGGTTTCTTCAATTTTAATCTTCAAAATATTTCACATTAATTAGGTAACTAAGGCAAAGTAACTTAGAGGTTATCATTATTAATAAATTAAGTATTATGTAAATGTCACAATTTCAAAATCTTACTCGCAATACATAGTATCTAATACATGACAGGATAAGAGAGTTCATGGTCTAGAGCAATGGTCTTGACAGAGAGATATTACTATCTTCCCCAGCAGGCACTCAGGAAGATACAAGATAGAAAGAAATTACTCCTGTTAGTTAAGAGTTACTATAAAGTGAACTGGCATGACACTGATGGAAAAAGGAGATTAGGAATCACAGTGATACATATTTGGTTAGAACTCAATAAATGCTTAAGGAATGAACAAGTGAATGGTAGGAGACTGGACTTAGAAAAAAATGCTGACTCATGTAGCTAGAAACTATAAAGTAGCCAAAGAGAATATATTTTCCAAGATTATATCACTTTTCAAGCTTTTAATACAGATTTTTAAAATATAGTGTCACATCACTCTCTTAATTTATGTTTCACTTATTTTTCTATTCTCCCAGACATCATAACTCAATCATTGCTCTAGACCATGTGATAATGTTTTTCCCATTAAATTGTCCAAATGATTGGTCTACACTGAGAAAACTCTTTGAAACTTTTAAAAATCATGCAAGGGAGTGCTATTTTGCTTATTTAGACACCGCTCACATTAAAGAATACAGAATTTCAATGCAATCAAGTTTTTCAACTACAACTCGAAACACTTTATGCCAACTGTCCTAGCCATTGTGTCACAGCAAAAACACACTCACTACTCATGTGTTTGTGGACAGTGGACATTCATGGCAGAAAAGTATACCACATACAATTATGTATCGGACATCATACTTAATAATAATAAAGGCTATGTAACTGGCTTGTGTATTTACTATACTTTTATCATTACTTTAAATTATACTCCCACTTATGAAGAAAAAAGCTAACTATGAAATAGTACCACTGTTATGCCAGCATCAATCTTACACATTTCATGCTTGCCATGTCACTTGACTCCATCAAGAAGTCACACCATGTGACCACATCAAGTTTGTATAAATGCAATCTATGATGTCTACATTAGGAGATTTCGTAGTTGTGCCAACATCATAGAGTATTTACACAAACTACGATGGCCATGATGTCATACAATATTATGTGATCACATAAATAATATAATATACCTGATGTGTCCTCATCACAAATATTTTTATCCTGCACAGCGCATTTCACCAAAACTCTGTATTAGACCAATACAGAGCCAGTAATTAATTAACTAAACTGGGGTGAGGGAACCTATTTTTCTGCAGATTGATAGTTCTGAAATCAGGAAAAGTTTTCTTATCAACATAAATATTCCACATTTTTTCTTTTTTCCTCTCAGAAACGCTATTATTGACTATTATTTCCATTTCAAATAAGTTTACTACATTTATTTTATCCTTATGAAACATGACTAGTTAGATGTAATAAATTATTGATGACCTTATAGCCTAGTAAATAAAATATAGAAGTCATCTGATAAGCACAACATTCACTTACCTCCATACTAAACTGATATTTGCATAGATATGAGTAAAATTTATAAATGGAAGATACAAAATGCAAGAAACCAACATACAGATACCTTATATGCATCTTAAAATCTGAAACAATGCAGAACTATAGCACAGAATATCTTAAAATTAGATATGGACTGTATCAAGTTTAAATTCAGAAACATACTTCCCTTAGATTAATTTGTTACATTATATCCCTTTTAAATAATATATTAAACTATCTGTTAAAGCAGTTTTCTCAATTCATCAATGATTATTTAGAAATTTGATTGAAAATGAGTAAAAAACTAAACAATTTATTGCATGTGCAAATATACATAAGTAACAAAACAGGAAAGGATTTCAAAACATAAAAATCAGGACAGTGGTTGCTGCTGGTTATTTCTGATTACCTCTGGAGGGATCCAGAGATGAAACGAGAGAGGAATGCAGGGGTAGATAAAGTTATTGGTAGTCTTTTAGTTTATAATGAACATAGAGGTTCCTGAGTAAATGTTAAATAACTTTTAGATAAATTAACTTGCACAACATAAATCATGTCTAGATTAATGATGACAGTATGCTATGAACCAATGATTTTGACTAGTAAAATTCTATGTTGCTATGGTTCATTTTAAAAATTTTTACTTACAGAAATTTCTTTCATAAATATTCCTTTCTAATGTTAATATTAAAGTATCTGCAAACTCTAATCTTTCACACACACTCAGAATGAACGGAATATCAGAAAATGAAACTCTAAATCATTCTTCATGAATCAGTAAAATTACCATATTGACATCAATTTACAGTCTTCCTTTCACAGTTCAGGAAAAAATGTTACAGAAACAATCAAGAACAAAAATCAGTGTAAACTAATAGATTATACAATTAATCTACATTAAAATTTCTTCAGCTTCAAAAAGCTTCAAAAATATGTGTAGAACTTTAGTTTACAAGATATTTTATTCTGGATGAAATAAACAAGATAAAAATAATATACATAACTCAATGCCAAAAAGTACTTCTAAGTCAAACTACTTTAAAATGGGTGACTAAGCAAAACATATTTAATAATAAGTTCTAAGCAAATTTAGCTTAAAAGTCAAACTATATGAGTATTGATAAGTATGTTCACAATCTAATTCTGAAATTTGCCAAGCATAAAGTATATTTACAATTAACAGTCTGCAAGTCAAACACTAAATGTGAATATAATATGTTTTTATGTTTTTATTTCTGAATTTTAAAGGAAGAGGATTTCAATTACCTAAAATTATCACAAACAAACATGGGACATCACATAAAAATGAACAGACAGACAAATTACTAAATTTAGATTCATTTTAAAAGGCTCAGGCACTAAGATTCTTTATTCTTCTGATTGAAAATAAAATAAGTAATTTCAAATAAATCCTTACTTTTATGATCTGAAACAAAATGACTATTAACTACTTTTGAGTCTAGATAAAATGCATTAGTATTGGAAACATCAACAAACGAAACTCACACATAGCAGAGGTCAAATATTTGCTCTTATTGTGAAGGAAAACAACATAACTGAAATTTTTAGAATATACTTTGTAAATTACCCACACAACAAGCTAATGAAAGATAAAAATATGATTCTTCCAGACTTCTAGTCACATACCTCTAAATATAAAAGAGCTAGAGAAAACACCACTTATGTAAAATCCAATGAGATTGTCTCCTTAAATTTTCTTTGAACTGACTTTATTAGAAAGGGTTGCCTTCAAAGAAAATATAACATACTTAAGTGCAAAGAGTTAATTCAAATGTATTCAGAAGTACATAGCAAGGAAACTTCTGAAATTTTGCTACAAGGCCACCTATTATGTGCAAAGCTCAGTGCTTTTACAATTACATAAATGATCTAAAGTTATAATTAGATGCTTGATAAGTGAAGACTCTGTTGACTTCTAGAGCCTATCCCATACTGTGTTGAAATGTTCTTACTAGTATTAGCTATAAATATGTAGTAATAACAAAGTAAATATAGGCACATTTTAATATTTTATTCAATAAAGTGACTTCTAAAACTTCTAGTTTATTAAAGTAAAAAATTTAAACACTCAAATTGCCCAAGAACTAGTAAGTAAATATCTTCTGTACTCCAGTTAAGCTTCCATTCTGACTTCTAATTCACTGTACATCAAAGAAAATCAACTTGCCCTGACACATCAGGACTATTCCCTTCAGTGATCAGGCAGGTGTTGAGGCCAGAAAGAGAGCCTATTTTCCACAGCCCTTTACCTTGTTTGATCACTGGTTACTTTTGATCTGACACTGCCCTCTCTCTAGTAATGACTTCCCCTTCATAGACCTTACCTCACATCTGTCAGAAAGAATAAAGGACATCAAACTGAGACCTGACACCGCCTATGGGCCATGCGATGTGCTGCCAACTGAATGTTCCCCAGCTCCCACAATTTTCAATTCAGTTTCTTTTGTTCTGGTAGGTACAGGGTTAGGGTACCAATGACAGCAGAAGGATTATGCGCCAACTGTGAAACCAAGCCTTCTTGAATGTGTATCTTTTATCTTTGCTTCTTCATCTTCTTAAATGCTGCAAACTTCATGGTGGTTACTATGAAATACATATTCAACAAGTGCAATAGAAAGTTTGTTTAAATCCTTTTCCATGAGAAAACAAAGGATGCAACGTATTATAATTCAACTACAAAGCTTTAAGGAAAAAGTTTCAAACCCAGTGTGATTAGTAAAGGCCAGCTGTCAAACAGCATGTTAATAGTAAAGGAAACTAGAGAAGTTTTACGAAAAGTTTTATTGCTTAGTGGATATTTCCATTCATCGGATAAAACTGAGACAGTTCTTTAAAACAATTCACATATTCACAAGAGGTAATCATTTCAATTGTTAAACTACAGATTCCCACACAAATCTGGTGTGAGAATAAGTTAGTACTGAAAATAAATGCTACTGATTACTGTTCAAATAATTCAGTGAGTATATGAAACCTTTTTAAAAGGCATTAATAAGTCATTTTTAAATGCCACCAATTAGAAAAATCTACTCAAAAATCACTGTGATATCATTTTACTCATAATTTTTCAAATACTATTTAAATATTTTATGAGTTCTTGAAAATAATACTACCTCCATACAATATACACACACATGTAGATGACACATTATCATGCACGCAATAAAGGGATTTGAAGGAAGCAGGTTTAGAGGCCTGAGTTCACTTTCAAGGTTAAGACACTATTTTATTGCTTTTTAAGTAGCAGGACTCTTAATTTTTTTAAAGGAGCGCCATTAGAAGGAAATAAATGATCAGCAAAAATTATGTGCAAATTTAATGTAAGTGTAGTAATAAAGTACATATAAACAAATACTTAATATTGAAGATTACAGAAGCTCAGAAGTAGAGTATAAGCATTAAGGTGATTACAAGTCTATTCCAGTAACTGGAGGAAGTTCATTTCTACAACAGCTGAAGAAATGTATAAAGGAGGAAGGTACCCATGTCTCAAGAATTATCTGTGACTCTACACTAATGAACTTCACTAGACCAAAAATCATTACTCACAATAGGAGAGAAATGTGAAAAACGATCTGTTCTTATACTGATTAGAAAGCGTAATTATATCTTTTTTTAACAAAGCTCTTCTTTTGTAATCAAAAACCATAGTAATATAAAGTATATTTTAAAATATTGTTTTAAATAGAATTTAACATTGATATACGTGGGCTAACTTTACTGAAGAAAGCCACATGGGTATACTAGTAAAAGATACCACTTGTAGATGAAAAATATGCAATGCAATCCAATGACAAATAATCCAACACTTGTCCAATATATTCTCTCACTTTCCAAATGTCAATCCTCCAAAAAATGAATAATCATTCTATCAAGATATCTATAAAACTGTTAGAACATAATGAGTACTAGAGAAAAAAGATAATAAAATAAATGGAAAGAACTTATGAAATTATAAACCAAAAATTTTATTGCGCTATTCTTAAAAATCACTTGTCAGTGTAACTCCAGTAAAACATACTACTCTCGAGTAATGCAATGTTCTGAAATAAATTTAATGCCACGTATGTTTGGTGTACTTTGTTGGTACCAGGCAATCAAGATACATATTAAATATCATATTTAATTTATCTATTTGTAATTGAATAAAGTCAAACTTTTTAAAACAAATTGAACAAGGTAACTTTTACCTTTGCAATAATTAAAATATAATAAAAGAATAAACTATGTTTCTTAGAAATCTTAAGACATTTTTGTCCAAAACCTGGCTGGAAATACATTAGTGGAAATGTTGAAACATACCAAATATTTTCAATAGGCTGTAAACCAAAAATGAAAAAATGCAATAGGTATTTTGCAATAATAAAGTTTTAATTTAAAGTAATTAGTTTAAATACTTTTAAGAAATCATTACCTAAAAAACTACTTAATTCTTGAACAGAATATTATGGGATTTTACTTCCTCAAATTATTTTTGCCATTATTTTGGTATCAACACCAATGAAGAATCTCTTGACTTACAGAATGAAACAAATATTTTACCAATTCAATTGTTAATCAAAATTGAATCTTATGTCCTAAAAGCTATAATTTCACATATATACTGAAGTATAAATAACATTTATGTAAGTTACTGCTGTATTATTTTTAGAATGTGATTTTAAAGAAACTTTTTTCCTGGTTTCAAAAAGAATTTTTTCCCAATAGACCAAAGGATTTTAGTATATACTATTCACTTTCACTGATAGTCCTTTTCAGAAAATTTACAATTTTATATAGAAAAATTTCATTAAGAAGTCCTAACAATTATTCATTTATCAAAACATGAAAAATATATACTCAGTTACTGTATATAGGTTTTAATAAAAGATAATCCTACCCATATTTGTAAGGAGTTACACTGAGAGACATGACTAAACACAAACCCTCAAATTATCAACAAATTAGTAAGACATAATTAAATACAGGAGGCTGAAATTATGAGAAAGTAATAAATATTGTGGAATTCTCAAATGTTAGAGAAAAAATAACATGGATCTGAGCTTAAAGATAATGAACACATACTGGAAGAAAGCCAGATGAAAAGAAGAAATGAAGATAACTGAATGGACAAATAGAGAAACTAATGAGATGGAGACTAATAACTAGGGAAATCTTTGATGTGAGCCACTCCAGATTTCTGAAATGATGAATTTGTATTTCAGCAAGAGCACTCCTGGGTTGTGCACATAATAAATAAAAGTCAACCTCTGGAAATGCCTTAGATTATGAATCAATTAAGTGGAATACATAAGGAAGTTTTGCCTTTCATACACTTTTCCATTAAGTTCTTTCCTAGGAAGCTTAAAATAATTTACAGGACACATACTTGATTACAGAATAGAATTGCCTACAATTACATATGAAGAAAAACCGGCTTATGAATATGTTAGTTTGTGTATATATGCATAAACTTGTACCCTTCAAAAACTTAATTTTATAGTTTGATATTTCACATATTCTTTTCAAAATCTTCAAAGGAAATATTAACCTAGCAAAAAAAAGGTATGTAATTATATTTTTATTCCCATTCAGAGAATCTATAAATCACAGCATAACCTAATTCTACTAGCAGAAAAGCTAACAGAACATGATGCACATAAGTTTATAATCTTTAGGCATTCACACAGACATTTAAACTGTAAAGAATATAAATACATACCTTCCTTTTTACAAGAAGCAAAATAAATAAAAGCAAAATAAAATAAAAGCAAAATAAAAGATAAAAATAATCATTCAAATATGGCTCAATTTTAAGGACTCTGATATACAATTGCCTTTTTTGGATTACAGATTTTCAAAAGATTCATTTATATATCTTATAAAATGAATGATAAATACCTAGATTCTCTGTTCAGATAAAAATAGCCAATAAAAATATGATAGTAGACACTACAATCTTTCTGTCCCCAAACTGTGCTGATATAACATGATCACTTCTACTTTAGAAAACAAAACAATGAAGGAAGGCAGTCACCAAAGAAAAATGCTTATTATTACTGTAATCTAGATGTGGGCCACACAAAATAACATGCCACAGAAAGGAGGTTAGGAAAAAAGTAAACATCTGGTTTTTAAACTTCTCAGCCACTAAAATCCAGAAGACAGTCAAAGAAAAAGAATTCACCCAAACACTTTCATGACTATTCATCTTTCTACTGCTCATCAGCCAACCTCCCATTTAGACCTTTAAAAAGAATTTCAAGAAATATAGCAAAGTAAGACACCCTACACAATATGAGTAAGGAAAAGCTGCAGCACTAACAGGAACGGTCCTTACCACACAGGTGTAGATAGGAACATAAACTGTACAACTTTTGCCTGAAGAGAGGATCGCCTGGTGAAAGCCCAAGTGGCACAGGACTTTCACAAAACTGTATCTTTTTTATCATGACAACAAAATGATGGAAAAGGTGCATCCTAGGACTTGAGAGCTAGGTATAACCGTAGTTATAAACTATAGTCAGAAAGACAAATCTTTTTTTATAAATGGAAGATAAGCTAATTTTCCTTCCCTTATGCCTCATCACTAAAACAAATGGGATTAAGTCTTATATAACCTAAAACCTTACCACCTCATTACTGTGGATAAATAAAAGCATAAGCCCAAACTCCCGAGACTCAAACAATACATCTCACTTGTTGACTGACAGGATAAAAAGGTAGCTGAGGAACACGTACTCATAAATGACAGGCTTAATATACTTCCTGCATCCCACCACCATCTAACCTTATAAACTTTCCATTTGCTAAAGCCTAATGACTTGACTCTATCTCAATCCACTATCTGTTGTCAACACTGGGAGTTAAAGTTCAAGACAGCACTTTCACATTTATATCTGAAAGATATTTTAATTTGCTCCAAATCATCCTGAGTTTTAAAAATGCAATTCTTAGAGACAAGAAATAAAAATCACATATTTTTTTAAAATGTACTTAAATTGCAGAATATAAATAAGGGGTAAGGGAAACACCGGCTAAAGAATTATAACACTAGGAATAACTAACTAAATTTTAAACTCAAAATAACAAATCTAGAATTTGGTCCAGAAAAAAAAAAGAAAAATAAATAAAATTTAAATATTATTTGGAGTATTATTTTTAGCCATATACAAATTCTTCATTATCTACATTGGAGTATATTGCTAAGAGCTTTTAATACTAGGTTAGCTTCCTCCTGAGATCTTGTTTACATTTTGTGTATTTCCTATTATCAGTTGATGGTTTCCTGGAGTTTGTGAACTAATTTTGAATTCTAAAATGAATATAATTAAGAAGGTAAATCTGTAGAGTAAAAAAATTAAAGCATTAAAAATAGAAGTTATTTGGATACTGTCTAAGGCACTGCCTGACTTCTTTATGACATTGCCACACAGGGAAAGAAAAAAATACACACCCACACACACTCATTCTTTACCATATTCTATGCCTTTCAATGACAGATTACAATCTGCTTATCTTCCTATCAAAATATATTTTAGATTAAAAAGGCAGCCAAAAGGAAATACACCAATAGATTAAAAAGAGAATAACAGAGTAAGATTCAGAAAAAGAATGTATAATGAGTAAAAATGTATTTCTCTCTCAGATTGAATGATCTTGTCAAATAATTTGTTTTTAATTAAAATAGCTCTTTCAAATACCACTTCAAAAAAATAAAACCAACTTCATTAACAATAATACATAAGTCAACAGAATTCTGACTTGAACAAATTATATTCCAGTTTTTGTCCCAAAACTATTCCTTGAGCACATTAATTACTTTATCTGGATCAAGCTGATACACACACACAAAAAAAATGACATTAATATGGTAACTAGATCAAAGAAATTTACTTGCTTAAAAAAATCAGAAAGAGACTGCTTCCTTAAACTATTTTAAGCTTTTATCTATGTATTCAAATTCCTCTTCTTTTTAAAAATAATTTATTTATTTGAAAGAGAGAGAGAGAGAAACAGAGATTGAGAAACACTTTTCATAAACCAGTTCACTCTCAAAATGCCCACAACAGCCAGGACTGAGCCAGGACAAAACTAGCAGCTTAGAACTCCATCTATGTCTCCCACGGGGGTGGCAGGTACCCATGTACCCAAGCCATCATCTGCTGCCTGTTAAGATGTGCATTAGCAGGAAGTGGAGCAGTAACTTGAACATAGGTCTCTGATACGGGATGTGGGTATCACAAGCAGTGTCAAATGCTACACCAAACACCAGCCACTGTATCTTCTTTTGAAAGTATGACTCCAATATATTTAAAGAAATAAATATTTGGGCCGGCGCTGTGGTGCAGTGGGTTAATGCCCTGGCCTGAAGCGCCAGTATCCCGTACGGGTGCCAGTTCTAGTCCTGGCTGCTCCTTTAACGATCCAGCTCTCTGCTGTGGCCTGGAAAAGCAGTAGAAGATGGCCCAAGTCCTTGGGCCCCTGTACCCATGTGGGTGACCCGGAAGAAGTTCCTGGCTCCTGGCTTCAGATCAGCACAGCTCCGGCCATTGCAGCCATCTGGTGAGTGAACCAACGGATGGAAGACCTCTCTCTCTGTCTCTACCTCTCTCTGTAACTCTGTCTTTCAAATAAATAAAATAAATCTTCACAAAAATTTTATAGAAAGCTTTTATTTAATAAATATAAATTTCATAGGTACAACTTTCGTATTATAGCAGTTTTCCCCCCATACCTGACCTCCCACCCCGAAACCATCCCACCTCCTACAACCTCTCCCATCCCATTCTTAAGATTCATTTTTAATTATCTTTATATACAGAAGATCAGCTTAGTATATACTAAGTAAAGATTTCAACAGTTTGCACCCACACAGACACACAAAGTATAAAGTACTATTTGAAGACAAGTTTAACATTAATTCTCATAATAGAACTCATTAAGGACAGAGGCCTTACATACATGGAGAGTAAATGTACAGTGACTCCTTTAAATTGTTGATTTAACAATTGACACTCTTTATTTATGACGTCAGTGATCACCTGAGGCTCTTGTCATGAGCTGCCAAGGCTATTGAAGCCTCTTGAGTCCACAAACTCTGACACTATTTAGACTGGGTCATAATCAAAGAGGAAATTCCTCCCTTCAGAGAAGGGTACCTCCTTCTTTGATGGCCCGTTCTTTCCACTGGGATCTCACTCACATAGATCTTTCATTTAGGCCATTTTTTGCCACAGTGTCTTGGCTTTCCATGCCTGAAATGTTCTCTTGGGCTTTTTAGCCAGGTCCGAGCCTTAAGGGCTGATTCTGAGGCCAGAGTGCTGTTTAGGGAATTTGTCATTCTATGAGTCTGCTATGTGGCCTGCTTCCCATGTTGGATCCTTCTCCCCTTTTTAATTCTATCTATTATTATTAGCAGACACTTGGTCTTTTTTATGTGAACTCTTTGACACTTATTCCTATCTTTATGATCAGTTATGCACTTAAACTGATCACTTTAACTAGTAAGATGTCATCGGTACCTGCCAATTTAATGGGATTTGGAGTTCCACGGCAAATTTTTAGCTTTACCCTTAGGGTTAAGTTCAAGGGAACATGTGCCGAACTGTACATCTCCTCCCTCTCTTATTCCCACTCTTATTTTTAACAAGGATCAATTAAACAAATTTTTTTTTAGAGATTTTTCTCTTTTTTTTATTTATTTTTTTGACAGGCAGAGTGGACAGTGAGAGAGAGAGACAGAGAGAAAGGTCTTCCTTTGCCGTTGGTTCACCCTCCAATGGCTGCCACGGCCGGTGCGCTGCAACCGGTGCACCACGCCGATCCAATGGCAGGAGCCAGGTACTTCTCCTGGTCTCCCATGGGGTGCAGGGCCCAAGCACTTGGACCATCCTCCACTGCACTCCCTGGCCACAGCAGAGAGCTGGCCTGGAAGAGAGGCAACCGGGACAGAATCCGGAGCCCCGACCGGAACTAGAACCCGGTATGTCGGCGCCGTAAGGCGGAGGATTAGCCTAGTGAGCTGTGGCGCCGGCCTTAAACAAATTTTTAAAAGCATATTCAATTCTGTAGTAACCATTTGTCACAAAATCAACATTTACAAATGTCCATTTCATGCCACCACTAGGGGTGGTAACTATATACACACAAGATACACACACTCCCTAGCCTCAGAAGAACTGATATTCCAACCCTGAAGTAGAACAGGTCGGGGTAAGGGTATATAGAAAGTAGGAAAGGGGGCAGTGGAGGGTCTAAAGGGAAGTTGCACAGCAGATACCAAAACACAGATAGGTGGAATAAGTTCTAGTATTCCGCAGCACAGTGGAGTGACTACACATCACAACAACCCATTATATATTTTATATACACTTTGAAGGGAGGGCAAAGGCTCAAAACACAAAGAAATAATGAGAGAAATGCAAATTACCCTGATTTGGTCAATACACATTGTACACATGTACTGAAATATCACCCCATACCTCATAAATATGCACAATTATTACATGCTAATTAAACAGAAAGACTTTTTAAAAAAGATTTAATAACCCAACAGTGAGATATACCTATAAAATTATTTCAGTTACTAATGGAGAGCAATTTGGTATGATCTGGTAAACATTTGTACATACCTTATGATACCCTAGAGAAACTCACAGACAAGTACAGGAGACTTGAATAAGGATTTTATATCTGCCTTTGACAGTGAAACACGGAAAGCAATATAAGTGTCTTTCAGTAGGGAATGCATAAAAAGGAGATACATATATAGAATAGAATACTAATATTTAAAAAGAATCTACGTATTGACTATAGCTTGATCTCAAAAACAAAAGTAAAATGCAAATTATAAATTGTTACATACTTTGTGAGACCAATATTTAACCATATGACAACACATATAAATTATATGTGACTACAAACACAGCAATACTTTTGTGTTGTTCATGGTTATCCACATGCATGTTATTTTTTAAAATTAATCTATTTGAGAGACAAAGTGCTCATTCACTGGTTTTCTCTCCAAATGTGCACAACACTCATGGCCAGGCCAGGGCCAAAGACAGAGTTGGGAACTTAAGCTAGTCTCTCACAGAGCTGGAAGGAATGCAATCCCATAACTGATCACCACTACCTTTCAGGGTCTGTATTGGCACAATGATGGACTCAGGAGCAGAGCCAGTATCATCCCTTAAGAGACAAGAGTGGCTTAACTAAGCCAAATGCCCACTCCTGATAAAGTATTTTTTAAAGCATCATTACAGTCATCTCAGGAAGGAGACAATGGGATGATGTTAGGAATGCAAGACTATAAGAACTTAAAGTTGATTAAAGCTGATTTGCTTCAAGCAGCATCAGCAACTCAATAAAATGTTAATTGCCAGTTTCTAGGTATGTTATTATTCTTTTTAGCATTCTGTATTTTCTTAATTTCTCAAATAAAAAAAACCGGTCACATTTTGCGTTTGCTGAAATTGCATTCTATGATCCTCATTACCTAGAAAATTCCTTATTTCTTATCAAGACACTCAAGAAATTCAGTAACTTAGTCTCTGCCTTCTTCTCAAGACTTAAATATAAACAATTCTTCTACCACCAAGTCCTAAGTTTTGTTATAACACCTACCACTTATCACAACAGTCAGTGTATTTTCCTAATTCATCTCTGATAGTGCTGTTTCCCACAAATGTAATCATGCACCCCGGCCAAAAAGCATTCAACTGTGTCATGATCACATCACAATACATCGTGCAAGACCTAGTTCAAGTGTCACTACTATATGTAGGAATTTCTGGTTCCTTCACATCTCTCTCTCCAAAATAACTCTTTTTGAAATTAATGCTTCCATAGCCCTTAACAGTAAACCAGACCGCCTCTCCTTGGTCTAAGTCTTCTTTAACTCCCTAACACCTCTCTTAGTGTCTGACCCATAGCAGGTATTCAAACATTACCTGACTGAATGAACGTTTGAAACAAGTTAAGAGAGTAAAGATTTACCAGTTTTTGAAACCACTTAAATTTCAATTAAATGTGCTGGACAAAAATGAAATAGTGCCAGTTTCTAAATCCAAATGTTATAGAACTATAAAAATATTTTTTTCAAAATAGAAAAACTTGGTATAAGTAGTACAATTCTATCATTAAACTTATGTTCACATCTGTAGAAATTTAAGATCAACACTAAATACTATATTGAAGAAAGCTTTCCTCTTTGATCATTTTACAGTTTTTCTAGAAAAGTTTGCAATGTAGTTTTTACTTGCAACTTCCCCTGAAATCAATTTGAATCCTAGCAAAAATATCTTCTACTCATGCTAATTGTTAACTTCCTCCTTTATTGTCTCAAGCACCTATCCCTAAGTGTTCCTCTGCAGATGACTGTGTTTGGGAACTTATTGCTTGGTTCAAAGTGCGTAGATTAGCATAAGCTGTGATATATCCATGCAACCAAAGGGGCTGAAGAACAAAGATCTGCAAATCTTAGCAGATCTGGTGAGAATTTTGACTTTGACACTTATTTAGTTATTGCTTAACTTCTGGGGGCCTCAATTTTCTTATCTGTGAAATGGAATAAAAATTGCTATCTCACTCAGAGGTTGTGAGGGTTACTTACATAAGGTAGCATAGTTCCTGAAACATGATAAATATTCAGTAAAAAGACAACTGTTTTAAATATTTTGTAATATAAACAAATGACAGCAAAAACATCAAATGTACCTGATGTATGTTATGAAGGTTTACATCTTCCCCCTCAAAAAAATCTGTATATTTAAATCCTAATCCCCAAGATGATATATTAGGAGGTGGGGGGGGGGGTCTTTGTGATGTGATTAGATTGTGAGAGTACAGCCATAATAAATGAATTAGGGTTCTCATCAAATAGGCCCAGAAGCAGGCAAACAGCCTACAAGCTAAGATGCCTGAGTCCCATACTGGAATGCCCGGCGTTGTTTCCTGGATCCAGCTCCTGAAGACTTGGAGCTCTTGCCAATACAGACTCTGAAAGGAATCAGGTGATGCTCAGGTAACTGAGTTCCTGCCTCTCATGCTGAAGATCTGGAATGAATTCCCAGCTCCTGCTACAAGACTGACCCAAATCCTGAATGTTATGGGCATTTAGGAAATGAGCCATTAGATGGAGGACAGCGCTCGCTCTCACTCGCTCACTCTTTCTCTCTCTCTCTCACTTGCTCTTTCTCAAATAAATAAAATATATTTAAAAAGAAATAATACACCCAAGGGAGCTAGTTTACCCCTTTCATCATGTACAAACACAGGAAAGTGTGTATGAACCAGAAAGCAAGCCTTACTATTTTTCAGCCTCTGGAACAGTGAAAAATGAATCTCTGTTTTTATAAGTTATCTAGTGTATGGTATTTTTGCAAAGCAGCCCAGAGTAAGACAATAGTACACAATACTAAGATAAAGTTAAATATCTTTAGGACAATTTCTTTAGAATGCCACAAGCAAGTGTCACTGCTCCCTGGAAACCACCACTCTGGGCCTAAGTAAATGCCCCATCTAAGGTAAGCCATCTATCCTGAGGGATTTTAGAGACTGAACTGAGTGCTCAGAAGACAGAATCCATTACAAATAAAAATTATTTATGTATGTGATTATAAGTAAACTCACTTTACAAGGAATAGTATTTGAGAAACAAGATATCAGAAGTGTAATGGGGAAATCTGGGATTAGAGGACAACTAATCTCCTTTATATATATATATATATATATATATATATATATTTTTTTTTTTTTTTGACAGTCAGAGTGGACAGTGAGAGAGAGAGACAGAGAGAAAGGTCTTCCTTTGCCATTGGTTCACCCTCCAATGGCCGCCGCTGATCGATGGCATGAGCCAGGTGCTTATCCTGGTCTCCCATGGGGTGCAGGGCCCAAGCACTTGGGCCATCCTCCACTGTACTCCCTGGCCACAGCAGAGAGCTGGCCTGGAAGAGGGGCAACCGGGACAGAATCCGGCGCCCCGACCGGGACTAGAACCCGGTGTGCCGGCGCAGCAAGGCGGAGGATTAGCCTAGTGAGCCGCGGCGCCGGCCCTCCTTAATATATTAATTCATATATAAAGACCCTCAATATATTAACTCTACACTGAAGACTAAAACGGTTATGGGATGCAAGTTCTCAAAAAATGCCAAACTAGCTACTGATATTTTGCACAAATGTTTATCTTACTATCCCAGCTGATGATCTACACGATTGCAATCCATTCTATTGCAACAGCCTCAAATCACTGTCAGTGGCTAATCGGTGAAATCAGTGATACTGCGCACAGACACAGCCCAGCTCAAGTTGGTAGATTACACAAAGCAAACCCTGACAGGGAGAGGTAGAAAACTTTCACTGAAGTCTTCCAATGTTAGGGGCCATGAAACACATGTGATACTTTACCTCTTAATCTCATTGAGTCTCATTCTCATAAGAACATGTTTGAAGCAGCACTATACATTTTCTGCAAAGAAGGAAATCAAAGTGCAAAAATTCCCACAACTAACCCAAGTCACATGAGTAGGAAATAGCAGGATCAAGGTGTGGGCCACATTCCATGTGACACAAAAATAGCATTTGCCTCAATCTCTCAAAATGCTTCCAGTCAGGAGGAAGAAAGTCTAGAAAGATAAATTTAGAACCTACCTCATCCATGCAAGCCTCCAAAGAATATTTTTTTTAAACTTTGAAGTTTATTTTATTTATTTGAGAGGCAAAGAGACAAAGACAGCTCCCATACATTTGTTCACTCCCCATATTCCTAAAGTGGCTGAGGCTGGACCAGGCCAAATATGGGAGCCAGGAACTCAAGTCAAGAAAGCTGGCCTGGAAGAGGGGCAACCGGGACAGAATCCGGCACCCCAACTGGGACTAGAACCCGGCCAAATATGGGAGCCAGGAACTCAAGTCAAGCTCCCCCATGTGGGTGATAGGGACACAGCTACCTGAGCTATCACTGATGCCTGCAAGGTCTGCATTAGCAGAAAGCTAGCATTGAGAGTGGAATGGGTTTTGAACCCAGGCACTCTGATATAGTATGCAGTTTTCTCAACTGGTGTCCTCAAGCAATAGGCCAAATGCCTATTATGAATAATAAAAGTCAAAATAATATTTTACAGTAGTGGCCAAGTGTCTCTAATAGATGTCAAATCATCTGTAAGAGATGTCAATGAATTACAAAACTAGTAAAGTATCAATTAACCAAGAGTCTGAAAACAAAAAAAATCACACTTTACTTTTAGGAAATAAAAGTTTTAACCAAGAAATTTTTATCATTTACCTAAAAATTTCTAAAATATATTCATACTATAGGGCTATTTTCCTGATAATTCAAAAATCTATACTAGTCCCTAACTCTTCAGAGGAGAATGTGAAAAAACAATAGACTAAATGCAAACATGACCCACACAGATCTATATCAATATACTGACCCTATGACTTAAAACATAAATTGTTTTTTAAATAAATCATAAAATCCTAGTACTTTAAAATATCAGGCTGGATAACAAACAACAGATAATCTATCCAATCCCATCATTTCAAAACTGAATGAAAGTCCATCTAAAAAGTTCCTCTGTCAAAAAAATAGAAAAGCAGAATCTGGCTACAGGAAGAGTAAAAAAGCAGATAAAATATACTTACTGAAGTCTCTATGTCATCAATAACTACACACCCACAATGTTTGACTGTGCTCCCCAAAGTTCATATTTGGAAGCTTAATCCCCAAAGTAACAATGTCAGGAAATGAAATCTAATAAGATGTGATTAGAACATTGAGCTCTACACTCACGGACGATCTGTCATCAATACAGAACTGGGTTAGTTATCTCAAGAGGACTTATTCTAAAAGGAAGTTAGGTTCTGTCTCTACCCCTCACTCTCTCCCCCCTGCCCTTCCTCTTTCTACTATGGGATGAGGCAGCACAAAGGGTTTGGCCAGATGCTGACACCATGCTCTTGGACTTGTAAGTTTCCAAAACTGTGAGCCAAACAAACCTCCATTCTTTACAAACTACCCAGTCTCAGGTATTCTGTTACAGCAGTAAAAATGGACTATGACAATCCCCAAACTAATTATGACATAAAAATAGCTTTTGTGGCAAGTACACTGAAGTGATATAAAAGCTATCACTAGAAAGACAGATGCATACAATATGCTACACTCTCACTATGGTTATATTTCTCAAATCTATTTCTAGAGTCTACACAAGAGTTTTAGAGCAGATGCAAAATACATCCATGTAAGTGCATGGCACTTGTCTCACTCAAAAATGACTGAAATAAAAATTTTCTTTTAGGAAGATTCTACCTGTATGTCTCAACTCTCTTCACTGTAACTTATTTGAGTTTTAAAATGTCAAACCATTGCCCTCACTTTCTTTCCGTGGGAATAAAACCTCTCCCTCTGATAAACACAGATATCCTTCCCTGTTTTATTTAAAGTTTAGGCTATTTAAATTAGTGCCACAAATATGGAAGTTCAAGTATTTTAATTGTTCATGTAAAATGGCAAATTCATCTTGTTGCATTCTAGATGTAACTATATTTCAAACTTTAAAAAGAAATGTTCCCATTAATTTGACCTGAAGAACAAATATTTCAAAAGAACAGCAGAAACGTATACAAGCATTATATCCTTATAGTTATATCCAGGACACAAAAGCTGTGCCACTGAAATATACAAAGACAATACTGCCATCTAAAGGCCAAGGTATAATATGAAACAATATATACTCAAATATGGACATGTATAAAAATCAACTTGATATTACAAATCAGCAAAGTGTATACTTTAAAAAATGCTATAATTTATTCATTTATTTTTATTTAAAAGGAAGAGACAAACAGGGAGAGAAATATCTCCCACCTGTTGGCTTACTGCCCAAATGCCTACAAAAGTTAGGGCTTGGCCAGGCTGAAGCAAGGAACCTGGAATTCAATCCCCAGGTCTTCACAGGGCTGGCAGGGACCCAAATACTTGAAGCATCACCTGCTGCCTCTTAGTGTAAGCAACAGCAGGAAGCCAGAATCAGAAGCAGAGCTGGAACTTGAACCCAGGCACTCCAACATGGGATAGGGCAGTCCCAAGCAGATCTTAACCACTATGACATAAACCTGTACCCTATTATTATTTCTAGACTACTCTCTCTTAGGGAGATTCAATTTATCAGTAGAATTACAAAATAATTTGGGTAATGATCATTATTTGTCAAAGAGGAGGTCAAATTCTGACAGTATACTTCCACGCAGTGTTTTCTCTAAGTAACACTATTAGTTACCAATCTAAAATACTTGTTGCCAAATCACTAGCAATATTTTTCAAAAGAAAAATACCCAAATTACTAAAAATTGAAGTTTTATTTTCTTCTTCTTTTTTTTTTTTTTTTTGACAGGCAGAGTGGACAGTGAGAGAGAGAGACAGAGAAAAAGGTCTTCCTTTGCTGTTGGTTCACCCTCTAATGGCCGCCATGACCAGCGCACTGCCGCCGGCGCACCGTGCTAATCCGAAGGCAGGAGCCAGGTGCTTCCTCCTGGTCTCCCATGGGGTGCAGGGCCCAAGCACTTGGGCCATCCTCCACTGCACTCCCGGGCCACAGCAGAGAGCTGGCCTGGAAGAGGGGCAACCGGATCAGAATCCTGTGCCCCGACCGGGACTAGAACCTGGTGTGCTGGCGCCACAAGGCAGAGGATTAGCCTATTGAGCCATGGCGCCAGCCAAAAATTGAAGTTTTGCAAATAACTGAAATATTTCTTATCTCATAAATTTTAAAAGTGCAAAACAAAGTTCTTTTGGGAGGTTAGTTTTTAAAGTATTCAATAAAGAATTCAAATTTCCCCAAGAATCTTAAATGGTAAGGATTTTACTGAAGTGACCCTCCTTAAAGAGCCAGAAAAATTACTTCAATGACATCAAAATGTTTAAAGTCTGAACTAAAAAATACAAAAATAATTTCCTTAGGAATTAAGTATAGAGTATATGAATGCAACAAGAAACTTCAAAATATAAGCAGTTGATTTAATTGGCTAAAAATCTTTTTCATGTGCCAATAAAAATGTCTCTGTGTTTATTCAATAAGAAACTGAATATCAGTCAATATATAGTTACATCTAGAAACTGAATATTTGTCAATATTAGTATTAACAAATATCCCTATTAATTGAACAATAGAAAATTTTTAAGTTGGAATTCTCTTATCTTCAGTGGAAAGCAGAATCCAATATTAAATAACAAATATAATTGTGATATAGCATAAAAACAATTAGGTTTTCAGTGTCCTCTATGAGAGCTTGTACTGGAAATTTTGAGGACATTATGTAATTTAATCCTTTAAACCACTATCTGCAAAAAGACATGTAACAGTTGCCTAATTTACAAATAAAATTTAAAGAGCTTAAGTAACTTTCCCAGTGTAAAAAGGCAAGTTAGTACCCTCTAGGAATCAATCTTCAGTCTCTGTGACCCAGAAGACGTCATCATCTACAAAATTATATGGTATCAAACATGATTATTACACTGATATTAAATGTCAAGAGGAATGTGAAATATTTTTACTAAATAGTTTAGGGGAAAAATATTCTATAATCTATCATAATAAAAGTAATTTTATTGTAACACACAGTGCTTCAATTTTTTCTAAGTAAAATATTTTTTTAAAAATTATTTATTTGAAAATTCGGAAAGAAAGATGCCATCTAGTGATACACTCTCCAAATGGCTACATGGTCAGGGCTGGACCAGGGAACAAGGAACTCACACCACTTGGCCTTAGGGTGGACCTGAGCCATGATTACTGCTTCCCAGTGCCTGCACTAGTGAGAAACTGGAGTTAGGAGCTAGAGTTAGGGATCGAATCCAAGTACTCAGATGTAGGATGTGGGCATCATAACTGGCATCTTTACCGTCCCTAGAATCGTTTTAAAAATATCATTATCGGGTTAGCAATGTGGCTCACTTGGTTAATCCTCCACCTGCAGCGCCGGCATCCCATATGGGCACCAGGTTCCAGTCCCGGTTGCTCCTCTTCCAGTCCAGCTCCCTGCTGTGGCCCGGGAGGGCGGTGGAGGATGGCCCAAATGCTTGGGCCCCTGCACCATCATGGGAGACTGGGAAGAAGCACCTGGGTCCTGGCTTTAGATCAGTATAGCTCTGGCCATAGCGGCCATTTGGAGGGTGAGCCAATGGAGAGAAGACCTTTCTATCTCTCTCTAATTCTATCTGTCAAATAAATAAAAATAAATAAATAAATATTTAAAAAATAGCATTATCTTAGTGGAAGTACTGATGCTTCCAGAGAACTTTCCACTTATGTTCATATATGAGATATATTTATCAGATATTTATCAAATTTCATAAACTAACTCCAGGGCAATAAAAAAATCTCTACTTTCCAGGGGCTATTTAAAAAGCAAGTCTTCTTTATAAATATGCTGTACATTTAGGACCAACATTTCCAAGTACACTATTTTTCAACATTGAGAATGCCTATTTGAGCCTCCCTCATGACAATCTCTTCTTTAACATGTACAATGTATCCATTAAACCAAAATTAAATGGCTTTGGAATTTTATTCATGTATAAAAAAGGAATGAAACACTGATACATGCTACATTGATGAACCTTGAAAACGTAATGGGTCAAAGAAGCCAGAGCTACATATTATGTAATTCTACTTACATGAAATATCTAGAATACCCAAATCAACAGAAAGAAAATAGATTAGTAGCAGCCAGGGGCCGGAAGAAGGAAGGGGACAGTGACAGCCAATGGGCACATAGTTTCTTTAGGAGGTAACAAAAATACTTTAAAACTAGATATTGGGGATGACTGCACAACATTTTGAACATACTAAAACAAAGGAACCATGCATTTTTAAAGGTAAATTTCATGATTTATGAACACTTATCTCAATAAAAGAAAACTGAATGGCTTTAAATATATTAAGTACGTCAGTGACACATGTAGTTGCATGTGCTTAAAATACGAATCTATTTAACTGCAAAGATTATCTGCCCCTATTTATTCCATTTTTTACCATACTAAGTAAACTGCTCCATTTCACAAGTGTTCTTGAGCATCAGAAAATACTAATCATCTAGCAATATTATTCCGTGGGAAATCGGAATGAACTACAACCACAGACTTACGTTTGACAAATAAATCTTTTTTCCTAATTTTCCCAAGTTAATTCACTGTCAGAATTTAAAAAAACACTTGATCACATGCAAATAAGGCATTTTAAAAAATACATACAAGTACCTATCCAGTTACATTATGAATTCATAAAACCATTGTTTGGAGAGGAGTTCTGGTTTTGAATAATTAGTATTTGCCTCTCAACTATCAAAAGAAAATAGGCAGAAGAAAATTTATCTACAAAGTTCAAGGAATTCAGAGGACAAAATAAGCAACACAAGGATGATAACAAGTACTTACTAATTTGTTCTCCTGCATGTATATTCTTTGCAATTTCAGACAGCCCTTAGCTATGACGATCATGCCTTCATCTGAGATCTTGTAACACTGGCCAAAATGAATATCTTTGAGTTCTCTGCATTTTGAGCCCAGCTGTAAACAAAAAGATTTGGCTGAATTCTCAGGAAATAACAAAGGCTACATATTTCTTGGGGGATTTTTATATAATTTTTTGAAAATAACCATACCAGCATTAAATAGTTATTTATAAAGTACTTTTAAAACAACACTGAGTGTAAACCATCCCATAACTAAATTGTTATTAAGACTTTTCACCTTCTCATCTACTTCCCTACTGTACTTACCTCATATGGCATGCTTACAAGGTACCTAGATTCCTTAACACTTGAAATTCACATCTTTACTTCTCTTAAGTCTTAATAGTAAAAAAATATTAATAATAATCTAAAGAGATTCATTTGGTATATTTATAAAATTTGAATATTATAACACCATTAAAATTAGGAAAAACTGTTAAGTAAAAAAAGTATGTAGGTTTTTAAAGAAAAATCCAATTTTATAAAGAAATAATGCATACTTAAATGCACATATATACACAGAAGAAAAGAGACTGATTTCACACGAGGGTGGTAATAGTGGTTATTTCTGATTAGTAAATGGGTGAGATTTTCCTATCAATATTCTCTAATTTTTGAAAATAAAATTACTTTCATAATGAAAAAAATAATTCCAAGTTTTGTTTCGAGTAAAATAATGCTAGAATCAAAAAGATATTAATTCATTTCTCTTTCTATTTTATTCTAATTTTGTCTATATGATAACCAATTATATATTCCTCAACAAATATAAATAACCTTCATGAAGACAGAGATTTGCCTGTTTTGTTAAATAATGTATCTCTGATCCTGTGTCTTACACATAGTTGATACTTAATAACTATTTACTGAGTATTCAAACAAAAAGGGTGATTAGAATTCTGTGTTGTAAAGACGCCTCTTAAATAGCACAAACACAAGAAATCAAGATTGAGCCTCAGATACCACCATGGTCCAATTAATTTTTTTAAAGATTTATTTATTTATTTATTTGAAAGTCAGAGTTACACAGAGAGAGGAGAGGCAGAGAGAAAGAGAGAGGTCTTCCATCGATGGTTCAATCCCCAACTGGCCGCAACAACTGGAGCTGCACCAATCTGAAGCCAGGAGCCAGGAGCTTCTTGCAGGTCTCCCATACCGTTGTAGAGGCCCATGGACTTGGGCCATCTTCTACTGCTTTCCCAGGCCATAGCAGAGAACTGGATTGGAAGTGGATCAGCTGGGGGGTCTCGAATCAGCACCCATAAGGTATGCCGGCACTTCAGGCTAGGCCATTAACCTGCTGAGCCACAATACCAGCCCCTAGCCCCTTAAATTTAAGGTTTCTAAACTGAGTCCATGGAAAAAATTCAGGGATTTCAGAAAAGTGAACATGAAAAAATATTACATATTAATTTTCATAAATCTTCTAATCCAACTGTAACATTTCCTTCACTTAATATGAGCAAAATACCACTGGTAGTTTAGCTGTACCTGTGACTTTGGAAATAATGCAAATCAAAGATAATTTCTTATCATAACACTATTGCTACAAATACCTAAAAATACCATTTTTTTCTTCAGCATCAGTATTCATCATGCTCATTAGAAAAACTACCCATCCTTATTTAGTTCATTACAAGAAACACATATATTTCGAGAATAAACATACAATGGCAGGGGCCGGCGCTGTGGCACAGTAGGCTAATCCTCCGCCTGTGGCGCCGGCATCCCATATGGGTGCTGGTTCTAGTCCCGGTTGCTCCTCTTCCAATCCAGCTCGCTGCTGTGGCTTGGGAAAGCAGTAGAAGATGGCCCAAGTGCTTGGGTCCCTGCACCCGCATGGGAGACCAGGAAGAAGCACCTGGGTCCTGGCTTTGGATCGGCACAACTCTGGCTGTTGCAGCCATTTGGGGAGTGAACCAATGGAAGAAACACCTTTATGTCTCTCCCTCTGTCTGTAACTCTACCTCTCAAATAAATAAATAAAATCTAAAAAAAAAAAAAAAAATAATAGCTCTTGACTTAGATGTGAGAAAGCTGAATCCAAAAGCCAATATTGGGCACAAAGCAGAGAAGTACATCTCAGAACTTTCAAGAGGCCCATATATGTCTGGCAGTGAGGGTGAGAGTGAGAGTGAGGCTAAGAACAGATTCTTGAACATCTGCTTAAGAAGTAATTAAGCCTTCAGATTACCACCACTCCACACCCATACCCCACACTGCCATTACTGTGAAGCCTGACCCCCTTTACCACAACATCAACAGACTGGAGATCTCCAGGGAAGTAAAAGATGGGGTTTATGAACTGAAGTATACTATACATAGCTGAAGAAAGCACATTTAGAAAATGCAGGGACTGTGTGAAAGTTTATACAGTGAAAATTGAAAAAAATCAAATACATAATTCTATTAAATTCTCTAGGATGAAAAAAAGTGTGAACATTCAGACTGTAAAGGTTTATCCACATGCCCAACAAAGATAACAAAAATAGACTCATGACAATGATAAATTTCAGACTTCCAGAAAAAAATAATTTTACACAAAGAACCAGGATAGAAATGCATCAAACTTCTTATAAACACTAAAAAAATGCCGGCACCGGGGCTCACTAGGCTAATCCTTCGCCTGCGGTGCTGGCACCCCAGGTTCTAGTCCTGGTCGGGGCACCGGGTTCTAGTCCCGGTTGCTCCTCTTCCAGGCCAGCTCTCTGCTGTGGCCCGGGAGGGCAGTGGAGGATGGCCCAAGTGCTTGGGCCCTGCACCCGCATGGGAGACCAGGAAGAAGCACCTGGTTCCTGGCTTCGGATCGGCGCAGCGCCAGCCGCAGTGGCCATTTGGGGGTGAACCAACGGAAGAAAGACCTTTCTGTCTAACTCTGCCTGTCAAAAAAAAAAAAAAAAAAAAAAAAAAAAACAACTGCAGAGTGATGTCATCAAACTCTGAAGCAAAGTTATTTCTAACCTAAAATTTTGTACTCACAATTGAGGTCGTAAACTGTTAGGACAGAATTGGGGATATTTTCAGAAGTGAAAGTCCTGAAGCAGATTCATCCCAAGCAGCTGGCGCTGTGGCGCAGTGAGTTAAAGCCCCAGCCTGCAGAGCTGGCATCCCATATGGGCAGCAGGTTCTAGTCCCAGCTGCTCCTCTTCAATCCAGCTCTCTGCTGTGGCCTGGGAGGGCAGTGGAGGATGGCCAGGGTCCTTGGGCCCCTGCACCTGCATGGGAGCCCTGGTGGAAGAAGCTCCTGGCTCCTGGCTTCGGATCGGCTCGGCTCAGCTCAGCTCTGGCCATTGCAGTCATTTGGGGAGTAAACCAGCGGAATGGAAGACCTCTCTCTCTCTCTTTGCTTCTCCTTCTCTCTCTTTGTAACTCTTTCAAATAAATAAATACAATAATTCTAAAAAAAAAAAATTTACATCCCATACATTTTTTAACAGGACATCTCTGGAATCTGTGCTTTAGTAAACATGAGAATACACGAAGAGAAAGACGACACCACACCTGGGTAATGGATCTAACCCAAAAGAAAGACGAAGAAAACTGTAGGAATAAGAGTAACAGTAAGATACTAAGATGACCAGTAACACAACACCATTTAAAACCAAGAAGTCCAGACTACAGCCTTCAGAACATCACAGGCAAATATACTGCATGATGATAAATTTGATTTTTAACACATAGAAATACTAATGCAACTAAGGAAAATCAGTGAGCTCTACTACTGTTAAGATGTATAAAAACTAAGCAACTACAGAGGAAAAAAATACTACTTACGGTGAAAATGAACTATTGTAGAGAATAAAAAATGGAGATAAATGATTGTAAAATGTGAAGGGTGAATATTTACTTTTTAAAAACTACAACAGAATTATATTGGAAGGATGAGAGGAAGAGAAGTATAAGTGAACTAAATCTTTTTGTTCCATATCAAGGAGACAGCAAAAAACAAATAAATAAATACAAACACATTACAGGGCAATGTTTTCTCTTTCTGGAAGAAATTCATTGGCCAAATTGGTCTCTCTACTAATTAGTTTGCATTTGATAAAATGCACATGTTCAGCACATCTCTAAAATTCTCTTGGGAACAAACTGCCTACAGAGAACAAGTAATCTTCGATTCATTTGAGTCCACTCTGCCAGTCTGGTCTAGCCAACAACTGAGAAATCAGTTGGTCAAACCCAAGTCAAGTTAATAAGGCAGTCTGGCTCTACTCGTAAGCAGCATTCTTCACCTTAGATTTTTCTGAGTAAAATAGGTGATTGTTTTCACTCCAGTATTATTTCTTTGTTTTATTTCTCAATCTGATAATATCCTAGAAAGCAAATAGTAGGCCCCTTGAGACTTTAACATTTAGTGCATCAACCAGAACATTGAGAAATATAAAAATATAATGGAGTGACTGAAGTTTTTGACAGCATCTTAAACATGCTTTATTTATTTTAAATGTTTTTGTTTATATAAGAGGAACAAATTTAATGTATTTCACATTTGCAATTTTAAGAGAATGATGATACTTCCCACTCTACTCTCCCTTTCTAGTTTCCACCCTCCCTCCTCCTTTTTCTTTTCATTTGTACAATGGCATATTTTCAATTTACTTTATAGTCACAAGCTTAACCCTTCACTAAATAAAGAATTCAACAAGGACTAAGCAAAAAAACCACTGTTTCTCAAGTGTACAAATAAGGGCTAGAAACAATAATCAAATCTCAAAATTCTGCTCAGATACATTACATTTTTGGGGGTCTCTATATAAGTTACCATAAATCAGGGAAAACATATGCTATTTGTCTTGTTGGGACTGGTTTATTTCACTAAGAACAATGGTCTCCAATTGCATCCACTTTGTTGTAAAAGACATGATTTCACTCTTTGCTATAGCTGAATAGTATTCCATTGTGTATATACACCAC